CAGATATATATTCTCTCAGCAAATTCTTGCCCTCTCCTATCAGTAGGTTTTTTTTTTTTTTTAGTGTCAGTCCTGGGGCTTGAATTCTGGGCCTGGATGCTGTCCCTGAGCTCTTCAGCTCAAGGCTAGTACTCTACCACTGAGCCACAGCACCACTTCCTGTTTTCTGGTCATTAATTTGAGATAAGAGTCTCACAGACTTTCCTGCCCAGGCTGGCTTTGAACTCAGCCTCCAGAGTAGCTAAGATTACAGGCATGAACCACTGGTTCCCAGCTTTTCACCCTTTTGATTGTTTGTTTGAAGACTTCGTGGAAGACAAAATTAGAGAAGGCCCTTAATTTTCCAAGGGTTATGTTTACATATTTTGAGCTCATATTGATTCAATATTTAAAATCTTCAGTTGTTCTTCTTAGAGTCGGGAAAGTCAATTCAGAATGATTTTCGGTCATTGATCTTTCAATTTCATCATGGATAACTGACATCATCCTAATTATTCAAACTAGACTTCAATAAAAGGAATTGCTTCTACCAGTTGTGGACAGAGTTAAGAAACTAGATAGAACAATTCCGGGCCCTCTAGATTTGATAGCAGTCAGCTGCCACTTCCTGGGGAGTGAGAGAAGCAAAAAGAAAAGCAGAGTGTCCAGTCCAAAAAATAAGATACACTTGAATGAAGCTGGAACTAAATTGTGCCTTCTAGAATAGCTAGTAAGAAACTACAGCTACCATTGTCCATATCATCCAAGACCAAGGAAAGGGAGTTGCAGAGCAACCTTTAACTTGTCACTAGCGCTCCCTGCTAACCTAATCTAGAGGGCAGTGGTAAATACAGAAACTTGAGAAGTTGGGGGACAATGAGACTTTGTGATCTAGTAGGTTTGACTCCACTCCCCAGGGGAAAAAACTTACTTTTTCTGATTGTCTTCCTTTTGAAGAGAAATCATTTTCAGTAATACACTTCATTAGTACCTTATGCCATGTCTCTTTTAATAAACTGTTTTGTTCTTTACAGACTTTACAATGAAGAAATTCTAGTGATTTCATTCAAATCAGCTTGTGTATAATATGTGCTTCTAATTCCTGTAGCATAGAAATTAGGAAAACAGTGAAACAGAACTTGGGTTATTTCAAATCTGTTATCTTATTTTCACTGCAGTTTTATTGGTGCTTAAAAACTTAAAGCAATAAAACATAGTTACTGAGGATGATTTTTTGAAAAACATGCCTTGCTGAATGTGAATCTAAGGAAAAACTCCTTTTGATATAGAACATACGTAATATAATTATCAACTATCATCTATCTATCTATCTTATCTATCTACCTATCTATCTGTTGATCTTCTAGCTGAACAATAACAATATCCATCCAGATAAACTTTTTTCTTTTAGTATGACCTTGTTTAGAAAGGTCATCACAGAATCACCTCCTAATCTATCTCTTGTCCTGGGAGGGAAGCATTCTCATTCAGATTCCAGCATTCTCTCACCTACATGTGAGAAAGACCCTCTCACTACCACACCTGCTCTTGACAAAGACCAGCACAGCCCTTATAGCACCCACCTCCATGGGAGCCAGATGAATGGAGAAAGGACAGGGAAGAAAATGGAGGAACAAACAAAACAGGTCACACAGGCTGCTGTCTGTCCTGGGCATTAACCCTGTCCCATCCAGCCACCATGCTCAGACCTTTTTGAGTCCAAGGTAGTATTCTCTGAGAGAGTATCTCATCCTCTATTCTCATAGAGTTCTAACTTTGGGAAAACTGGAAAGAGAATGTTTGGGACCTGTGAGGAAAAAACATATCACTGAAACATCAACAGTAGAGCCAAGAGCCAAGACTACATGTGCTTGGGTTCTCAGGTCCATCTGAGAGTAGTCATTTCTCTGGGTTCTAGTTCTTCTAAAGCTGACTAGAGGAAGGACTTCAGGCCCTTTTCCCTCAGAGACACTCTGATGGCTGAGGCTTCTTCGCTCTGCTGCTTAGTTTGATTCTCACCCTAGGAAAACATTTTATAATGTTAAGCCTCAGGGAAACTTGCCTCAGACTGAGCCTTATTATTGTTCTACGGTCTCCTCAGGATTTATGCTTTTCATACCCAAAGTCCATTATATTTCTGAATGCCTTTGTTTTCTATCCTTTCTGGGATAGGAAAAGATCTAAAATGTCAAAAGTATAATACTGTACGTACATTGTTTCCTCGAATATTCATCCAATACTTATCAGAATATTAGCAGTATTTTTGGTCATATTTTGATGATTTTTTTATATTTTTGCAATTTCTTCCTTTTACTCTTCATTCTAGATTATCTGAAGCAAAGCATTTCACTGGAAGCTTTATGAAGCCAAAGGCAAATTAGACTTGAAGAGCTTAGTCTTTAAGTATCTTTCTTTTGGGCAGTTTTCTGTGAAGTTGTACTAGGTTATAGAAAATGAGGAAGGAGAAGGGAGATTTGTAAGATGTTATTTTTTAAAAAGGCAACCATTTGAGGGAAAGAGCAAGTCCCTCCAGCATTGTTCACAAACAGCTGTTAATCATGTCAGCAGGGCAAGTTCTTGGCCATAACTCTTAAGAATAATAGCAGAAATCAATACAATTCATAACTGTCTGCCTTGGTATACTCCATAGTTCCCCAATACAATTGTACTATGGAGCCAGGGTTAAAATTCACTGGTTCAAGTAACCGAAAACACAAGTTACATGGAATGTAGCCAAGTATGGCAGAGAATATGTAATAGGCATCTTCTCAAACACCTGTCCACATAATCATCTTGGACTGATTTCCTGGGCTCACCATCCTGAATTCTGCCAATCACTTCATCAGAGAGTAATAAGTGAGAGAATATCCAAGAAACTGAATTGTGGTTAACTGCCAGCAAAGGAAGATATATTGTTTCTTACACACCCAGCATCATAGTATGAGATTTATATTCATAATTCATTTTGTAAAATTTGTCGAAAATAACTAAAGTTTCTTTTTATTGTACTAGAGCCAATATTGCAGCTCAGTAAGGGATGCAGAAGTAACATTTCAGAAGAACAATTTGATTAATGAAAGGGCAAGCAAGAGGATTCTTAGTTCTTGAATTTTTGTCCCATTTTCGGGAGCTAATGTTATTGTAGGATTTCACCTGGTGTTAAACCTTTGTCCTGTTTGATCCTCTGGCCAGCAGAATAACATACTTCAATTCAGAATGAAGAACCTATCGTTGTAAGGCTAATTGCTTCTAGGTGAGCCCAAAGGTAAGATAAATGATTCCCTGGCAACCTTTAAGCATATATCTTGCTTGTCTTGTTGTCTTACTTACTCAACTGCATAAGATAAATGACTTCTTTTCAGGAGAACCAATATTAGGTCTTTCTGTTGAAAGAAAATAATCTGAGGAAAAATTCATCGAAGTCACAATCTTATTTATGTTATTGCAATTCCTTGCAGAAATTTACACCTGTGTGGCCCTTGCCATTTAAATATCCCTAATGTTCCTGAGAAAGTTTCATAGTATGCAGGTGTTACCCAAGTTATTGTAGCCTTGCTGTTTGGCTTATGGAATGTCATAAGGGCTTGACATCAAGAGCTAGTTTTGAGTTTCAATGTCTCTGAGGTACCAACTTGTCTTTTAAAGGTAGAAATTCATTTTCAAATTGATGCAGTAATTAAATACATCAACACCACATAACTATTTTATTATTTTAGTACAACAAAGATAAACATACAATAAATATATGGTGAACAAACAATTTTCAGTTGTAAGTATACATTGTAAATTCAGTGCTGTTGTTTAAAAATAAATAGAATTTTCGAAGAGTTAAAAATGAATATATTAACATTGATTCACAAAATATTGGAGCTAACGTAGAAGCAAGTCCTAAAAGTAACTTGATTGATGCATGTCTTTACTCATTCCCCTCAAAACCCCACATTTTAGTCTTGGTATTGGTATGTACACATGGGAAGTAAAGAATTGAGGGAATGATGCTCATAATTCAAGTGAAACAAAATGCCTTCACTGTAACTAACTTTTTATGAGAGAATAAAAAGGAGGTATTTATTTAATCCTAACTAATTCTCTGAATCATTACTTTGATTCTTCATTTTGTTCTACATGCTTAGACCTGTACAATGACTAAAGAAAAAACAAACAAGGAATTGAAACCCTTCCCTTCCCCTTCTAACCTTTCAATTCTCTACTCATGATGGGAATCATTGGGAAGAATTGTGTTCAGTCTTCAAATTTATATGCCTAATTAAGACAGATAATTCTGTTGACTTGAAAGTGGGAACCATACTTTGTCAAAGCTTATTATTTTTCATTTATAACTTATTTTCTTTGAGTATATACTTCTAAGCAAGTTTAGCTGTAGAAACTCTAGACTATAAAATTCAACATCTTACACAACCTAAATATATAGTTTTTCAGAGATTTTCCCAAAGGAACAAATGAAGCATTTGCAGTGGGCAAGGATATTCATATTTTGACACAGTCAACTTCAAAATCATTATTTGTTGTATACAAGTTTCCAAGACAATTACTTTCAAAAGATTATAAAGTCACTGTTATTATGTATAAGAAAAAATGAACAGTGTATGCTTTTAAATGCATGTAGGCTTTATTGCTTTGAATTACCAGTGGCAAATTTTGCGTTTCTCATTCAAAAATATAGCACAGGCAGAGAAGAGTAGTTCGCCATTGCTTATCAATTAATGACTCTGATTTGACCTGATGTTTTGGACACACACACACACACATACACATACACACACACACACACACACACACACACACAGAAGAAGAGGTTGAGTCTAACAATAGTGAATTCATTTACTGCACAAGAGATTAGAATGTCCAAGTAGGTAGTTTACATTCCTGCCTCCGGTGAAAAGTTAAAATTTCCATCTCTATTTAAATAGTCATAAAGCAAGTTCTCCTGCCTGACGTACTTACAGTTTCTGGCAGGGCTTTCTAAAAAGCATCATGCAGAGTTGGCTCGAGCGCAAGCTCTAGACATAGCTGGTGGAGGTCTTCCTGAGCGCGGTCCCAGTCGCATTCTTCTGTTGGTTGGTGCAGGGCACAGGGGGCGCGCGGGGTGCCAGGCGCGCAGGGGCCGGGTACCTGCGCCATCGCTGCTTCCTGTTGCAGCAGCAGTACCCGCAGAGCAGGCCCCCTCCAATGAAGAGCACAGCCACCGTCAACCAGCCCAGGAAGAGGGCTGCTCCCAGCTCTCGTTTCTGACCCGCGTGGATGGCTGGGTTGTAAAAATCCCTGATGATGATATTAGCTGTCCAGGATACTGGGATCAGAACAAAGATGCCGGTCAGGATAAAGAGGACTCCTGAAGCTCCCAGAAGGTATGCCTTGACTCTCTCGTCGGTGCTCGTGCACTGGATCTGCTTCATGCCACTGATGCCAATCAGGAGCGCGCTGAAGGAGAGAGCCACAGCCACACACATGAGGGCCCGCGCTGCTTCCAGGACAGGCGGGAGTGCCAACAACGAGTCATAAAACTTGCACTGCAACGTCACCCTGGCTTGTTGGATGCAGTTCATCCAGAGCCCTTCCCAGATCCTCTCAAAGATAATAATATTGCTGCCAATAAAAGCTGATACTCTCCACTGAGGCAGAAGGGTTGTGGCAAGGGTCCCGACCATGCCAAAGAACCCAAGAACCAGCCCAGCAACTTGTAGTGGATAAAATGCCATTGTCTAGACTTTGAAGGCTGGTTCAACCTGGCTCGTCTTAGAAGATGCTCAAATTGCAGGACGTGGAGGGCTGTTGGATTCTAGAGTCGTCTTTGATGAGGGAGGATCTTTGCCGGGGCTGTCCATTGTATTTGCGTCTAAATCAGCAGTGGAGAGTGAACTTGATCCTAACTAGAAGGACCTGTTGAAAATGCAGGCGGTCTTTGTTCACACACAGTCACTGCTGCGTGGATTATTCACTGTCATATATAATGCGTTCCCAGCCAATAAGGAGGTAAGTAGAGGTGTGTCAAGAAATACTGCATTCAACTTCAGTATTCCTCATATTATTATTGTCTTAGTAGTGCTATAATTAAGTGTCAAAGCTTCCATTGTGGATTGCTAATTACAGAGCTGAGGACTTCCTCTCTGTAACTCACTCTGATATGGAAAGTATAAATATATGTGTTAAACTACAACTACAGATAAGCTCAAAGCCATGCTGGTTCTTTAGAGAGCAATTGAAAAACATTTTAGACTTTTGGCTAGCTCTTGCTTCCTTCTTGTATAAGCTGCCTTTCTTGAAGATGGTTAAATAAGTCTAGTCTTAATAAAGACTTCAGGATAGAAATGCTTAGGTATTCCATTCTAAACTTCTATTAAAACTATGGAGAGTTAGGAGGTGTCTTAAGTGAGAAATTCAATTTTTCATAGCTATTTCTCAGATCTAGAAAAGAAGATCAAGAAAGGCTGGTTTGGATGGACTAGCAATTATTCTATTAACTGCTAAGAATTGCCTCTCCCTCTGCTGAAAGATGGTTAGTGTATAAACTTTCATTAGATGTCTCCATTGACACCTTGCACTACATCATAGGTTAGGAAATCAAAAGCATCTATTTCATTTTCAGAGTCCTATGACAGTTGTCTTTCCAATTAACTATGAAATGAGTTCAAATTCGATAACAGAAAACATTTTAGGGCTGGCAGGTGTTGCCAAAGAAACAAGGCTTGCACTCTGTACTTGACATAGTTACAGAATGAAGTCTATATATGGTGCTTTTTGGAAGAGAAACATGTTGAAACTTAGCAAGGACAAACCCAGGCGTCTTACTATGTTCCCTACCTGCTCTATGCCTAGTCTGATTCAAAATAAATAAAGGAGGGACCATTGCTTTTCTCAAACGTTTATCGTATGACTAAATCCAAACTGTAGCACTACCTCTTCCACAGTTTAAGTAGTCTCCTAGCAAAGAGAATTCAGGTGAGAATGGTCCCATTGTCTAAGGGCTCCATTGTCATTCTTCACTATCCTTGAGCAGACACTGGGGGATTCATGTGGGAAGTAGGAGTCTTTCTTTCCCATCTCTTTTCTACATCCCACAGGAATCCATTTTGAGGATGAGGAATGCACCTGGGGAAGTAGACCCAGCAGCCTTTGCCTGGGAAGCTCTATAGTTTCCAGAGGGTTCCACCATCAGTCAACTGAAGGCCAGAGAGTTCAGGGGTGGCCCAGGATCACCCAGATTTTAGGAGCTCATTAAGTAAATGGAGAAATATGAAAAACAATTGTACTTTCTAAATGGACAGTCTGAGAACTCCCTCTCCCAGAAGTGTGAAGCATCAAGGAAACAAATCACTTCATGGAGTTGACAGTTTCCTCCCCCAGCTCAGGGTGAAGGCCTTTCCCAGACCTGTGTTCTGGTTTGGAGACACAGGCTTGATCAACCCTCACCCTGTCAAGATTGTCCACTGCTTCTCAGACTTGGAGAATGTAGCTTCTCTTTCCTCTTTCGTGTTCTTCTTCCTCAGTCCATCACATTTTTCAGTCCTATCTTCATTTATGTTTTTGTCCTGGAAGTTTCCAGTTTGTTGGTCTTTTCTAATTACTTGATTTTCCAGCGGTGACAGCATCTGTAAAGTAAACATCTTCCAAGCAAACAACAGTGAGTGCATGTGTTTACTTTTAGAATACAGAGCTACATCTTGAATGTAAGATTAACCTGAGAAACATAAATAATGTAGGAGTTCTTATTTTATTTTTTGCCCATCATCGCCAAAGTCCATTGTCAATTACTTCTTTTCTCCTTTAAAACTAAGGAAGGAAAACTTCTTTCCTGTCCAACTTTTCTGTGACACTTACCCTCTCCTGCCTTCTCTGAGACCTTCCCTTGCTCCATGAATCATTTCCTCCTTTGCACTATGCCCTCGACCTCTTTCTCAATTATCTTTTCTAATATAAACATTCATTTCTCTTCCATTTAAAAATTCCATCATCTCCACTCACTGCTCTGTATCCCTGTACATCTTTAGGTCCACTTCCATTTTCTGCTACACCATACAGTGCAGTCTAACTTCTAGCACTCAATGAATTTTATAGATCTCCCCAATCCTAGGTACTATTAAAACACAACGCTTTCAGAGTTGTTCTTTCTGGGCCTCAAAGTAACAACCGGTCACTTCACTGTCCTTGTCTGAGGCAGTGAAGGACTTGTGTTCTGTGACCAGGTTCAGTCTTTGTTTGATGCCTTTAGTCACCCATGATGACCGTTTTGGGGGCCCTCTCCAAACAGACTGTTCTACAAAATCAGCAGCAGCAGCAGCAGCAGCAGCACCATTATCACCATCATCACCATCATCATCATCATTATCATCATAGGCAACTTCATTGGGATGCTTTGAACATTACATTAGAGGATGTTTGCAAGCACAGCGGAAAGGTTTTCTTTTACTCTTAGTCTCATTTATTTTTGTTTTATGATATGTTTATTCCTTCTCTATCTGCACATCCTCAGACTCTTCTTTCCCTTAGTTACATTTCTTGGGTTTAAATGTTTCTTCTCAGATTCCATCCATACTTCAATACGCCCAAAGAATATATACTTCAATACTCCTCTCACTCACGTTCACCCTCTTGAGCCTTGTGTGTAAACACTACTTCAATGATCTCCTATCAAATGGGAAGATCTGAATCTGTTATCTTTCACCCTGGTCTCTTTATGATTGTTACACTTTTTTGTTTTGTTTTTAATCTCAATCCCTCAACCAATATGAATCTGGGGTAGATGCTGACATTCTACCCAGCTGCTTGTTGCAGCTGCTGAGCAGGCTGCAGAAAAAGCCCTCTGCTCGAGCCCCAGGTGTCCTTCTGATGCTGCCTGAAGTAGACATCTTCCCAAATCATTCTTCACTCCTGCAGGACGCGCCCACCTCCACTGACTGATCAATCAGGGATGTGAAGTCAAGCTTGACCAGTCTAACTGGAAGTTAAACCTCAGGCTCAATAGTAGCTCCAGACCTCGCTGAAGAGTCACAAGTTCACGTCTCTCCATGTTTGACCCTCTTTCTTACCTTCTTTTCAGTTATTGATCCCATAGAAAACACAACACACATATCTCCACTTTACTGCCAGCTTCACAGGGAATTCAAGTACTGACCAATACTTTCTGCTAATTTATTAAGTATGTTTTCTCTCCTTACACTGCTAGTCTTTAATTCATGCTTGCAATATCTGCATCATTTCAATAACATCTTTCTTAGTCTCATTGCCTCTGGCCTAAGACTTTCCTAGTACAAATTTTGCTTAGCAGTCATGAAGACTTGATGAGCCCAAATATGAAGATGTTACCATCACCCATAGCAATTTCCAATAGTTCTCCACTACCTCCAAGCTAATATGCAAAGAAATGACAGCATGAAAAAAAATTCTTCAGCTTGGTCCCTGCCAAAATTTAAAACTTTACATCTTAGTGAATGCAGTAACTATTTAGCAATTGCTATAACACATATCATTGAAAGTGTAGCTATATCCATGGGTATGAAAATAAGGTATCAACAGAAGTGATCTCAGCTTTCAACATAAGATGAAGGAAATATGGATAGGAGTTAGCCAGATAACCAGGCAAAGATTGGGAAACAAATCCCACAATCTGCAAAGTAGAACCTTTATATGTAAAGCTCTGTAGCCACGCGAGATTGGATCTTAGACACATGAGTGTGTGTGAGAGAATTGAGGCAGTGAATATAGGTAAGAAATTGATATTCAAGTCCGTGTTTGTCATTTAGTAATCTAAGATTAATGCAAAGTCCAGTTTAGATTTTAAGCACGAAACTGACACTGTCAAGTTTCAAGTCAACATTAAGATAACAAGGGCAAAAAAGTCACCAATTACAAAAGAATAGGGATATTTGAAGAAAATGGAAAAACAACAACAACAAAGTGAGTATGATGAAACCACTTAGAAAAGAGACCATGAAAGCTGAGTTAGAGAAGACCAAAGAGGAGATAGAGATGAATCTTTCTTCTGTATAGGAGATTCAAATGCTAACGATGAGCAATGGATCAGCACTAGGGAACAGATGATTGTGATATCATGGTTGTGAGTGTAATTGTACCCAGTGGTGCCTTCCTTGATGTATGAGGCACCCAAGGAATGAGTGACTTCTAAGGAAAAGATAAAGCATTCCATTTTCAGATGCAAAGTCTGGATTGTGTGTCAGTCATCCTAGTAAACAATGTCAAGAATGAGATATGTTGAAGCTCAAAGGAATTGTCTGGACTGGACTATCATACACAAGCTCATACTATCAACAAATTATCACAATGAAGGAGAGGAATCTGACAATAAGACTGGTAGAGTTTCTCTATAATCGTGTCCTCTTGCAGTATTTTTAAGGTGTCTAGGTTCAGTGGAAGAATTTCTGGACTGTGTAGAAAATGTTTACTTGCTGCAAGTAAGCAAAGGTAGAGTTATAACCTCAAGAGGGAAATCAAAGATGCACAAATCAACCCCATCTCATCCTGCTCTTCTCCATTTTCAGGGGTTTTCTGACAGAAAATGTTGATTTTTCCTATTTTACTGTTTGTCTATTTTGAAAGTATCAAACCTATCTTCCTCAGTGGTCAGCTCAGGGTTTAATGGCAAATCTATTAGATCAATTAGTAGGTATGTTCATATATGTATGTATGTAGGTAGGTAGGAATGTTCATACCTGTTAGCATACACACATGTATGCTAACACAT